TCACTCACTTCGAAGTGAAGTGTGTTACTCGATCATATCAGCAGAGACCTATAGACAAATGGATCCCTATAATTAGGATTCCATTCAGGTACAGCACTAGAAAAAAAGAAAATTTATGGTTAGGTTATTTTTTGGGACACTTAAATGGCGAACAGATCAAACAAAAATTTCATTCATATATGTCGCTTTTATGGCGTCAGCCGCTAAGTATGTCAGTCAATTTTTAATAGATGTGGTGTGAAACGGTTGAGTATAGGTATATTTGAGCGGTCTTCCGTCTTGTATCAACACTTGTGGGTAGGAAATAGAAGATTTGTTAAAGAATAGATTGTTGAAGATAGTACGCAGAGATGAGGTTGATTTTGAACTGATAATTACGGTCAACACAGAAACACAGTTCTTTCGAATGATAATCGTTCACTCAGTCCCTTTGCTTGAAAATTACGCATTATTGGCTTTACAACTTCACAGAATATTCTGACTAATACATTTATTTATTTCTAACGACGCATATAACATACAGACTTACCTGGGAGAAAAGTTGCTTGGATGACAACGGATTTTTCGTCAACATCGTGTTGCATTGGTCAATCATGACATGCAGTTCAAAGTTCCACCTAAAGGTACTTCCCTGGTTCCAAGATTTCTGGAAAACGACTTATCAGGAAAATTTGAAATTTTCAGGGGAGGTGGACTTGATATGGGTAGCAAAACTTGTCATAGAGACAAAGTTCGCAGATGGTAGCTTCTAAGAGATAATGGGATCAGAGTGGCGAAAAATCATTCGAGTCTTCGCTCCTGTTTCTTCAAGGTGCTATGTTTGACCGGGTCAAAAGTTTTTTATAGGCATTAGATACGTAGGCAGGTGAATACGGTTTTTACTTTCTTTTTATTGTTTTCTTCTCCGAATAAAATAGCCCAAATCTCGAAGGTGTTCTAAAAAAATATGCTTTTTTTCAAGAGAGCTTTTTTTGTAAGGGCTAATAAAAAACAGCAGAAAAATATTTTTAAAACTAAAAGAATAGCTAACTCAAATGATGTCTAGTATATGTAAAAAAAAATTTCAGCTGGATCGAACGTACCACGTTGGAGAAACAGGGACATCTCTGCATTCTGTTTAGAGAAAAATGCGGAACAATGTACAGTTTTCGCTGTTTTCTTTATACAAATTTGAATTTTTCTCGATTTTCTTACGATAAAAGAGAATTATCGGGTTCCCAAATATATTCAATAGAGAGATACCATTTGAAGCTGTACTACGTTGGAACTAATATTTTGATAGGGGTACAGCTATAGTTTCAAATTGAGTAAATAATGAATTTCATACCAAACGAAAGTTCGTCAAAAATGGGGTTAGGGGTGCAACAAATCCATTTTTTTCTGAACAAATCTTGTAAATTTTCGATAGAAGAACCCCCCCCTAATCTTGATGTCAGTTATATGCAGTTTTCTTCGCTCTATCTGATACTGGTATTTATTTACCAAATCTCGAAAGAGAACTTCTAAGATTTGGTTAGGATTTGGTAGGATTTGGTAAATATGTGCAGTTTTCACCAAATCTCTACCAAATCTTAGAAGTTCTCTTTCGAGATTTGGTAAATAAATACCAGTATCAGATAGAGCGAAGAAAACTGCTTATAACTGACATCAAGATTTGATTGAATTTGGGGGGTTCTTCTATCGAAAATTCACAAGATTTGTTCAAAAAAAAATGGATTTGTTGCACCCCTAAATGGGATTTATTCGTACTAAACAATAAGGGTTTTAGAAACTTCGGTATGTTCAAATGTCTACCAGTTTGGAAATAATATTTTTCTAGGGTACCCCTATAAATTTTAAACAGAGCAAATAATGAATTCTATACCAAACGAAACCCCATCAAAATGGAGTTTATTGGTGCCAAACAATAAGGGTTATGGAAACTTTTATATGGTGAAATGTCTAAATCGAGGAAATTTCACCGATCATAGGTGTGAGGAAAGTTATCCGAGGTCGAGCATTACAACGACCAGATACGACCGTACATGGCGGTTTACGACGCCGAAGACCACCATATACGGCGAAAATACGCCCGCACAGGGCCGTATTTATGCCGTATTTCAATGCACCGTATTATGGTCGTAAATCCCCGTATAGTATACAGCGAAATACAGCAGCCGTATATGACACAGGGAAAACCGTAAAACGACCCAGATATACCGCATACGGTAGTACACGCCATGGTTTACTGCGCAGCTAGGGACCTATACAGTAGCGAACGACTGTAGCAGAGCATCCGCAACTAGAGCATGACGACGGCCAGATACGACCGTATGCGGCCGTTTACAGCGCCGTACACCGCCATATACGGCGAAAAATACGGTCCAGCGCGGTCGTATCTCCGCCGTATTTTCATACACCGTATTACAGCCGTAAACGGCGAAATACGACAGCCGTATATGACATAGACAACGTCGTAAAACAATACACTACACTTTCCATTAGAATCCAATATATTAGACACATAATTATTTAATTTTATGGTATCTCAAAAAAAGACCTTAAAAGACGTTAAAAGCCTTTTAAGGCCTTTGTTCAAAAAGAATCAGATTTCTTCATAGAAATCAACTAAAACAAAGCGACTGCTTCCCAAATGGGCCATAAAATGCCTTTTTCTATTAGTATCCATGGATTTTGATGAAGAAATCACGTGATTTACAAAGTTCCGAGCAAAGAGGCCTTTGAAGGCGTTTCTTTAAAAAAATTCAGATTTCTCCGTGGAAGTGAACTAAAAGAAAGAGGAAGTTCTGAAGACATTGAGTTCTATAAATTTGGATGTTATATACTGGTGGTTCATTTAGAACGTTCTGGGAACCTGAAAATAATTTCCTGAGGAAGTTTTGACAGAAACATGGATTTATGAGGGATTTATACGGCCAGGTGAGAAATTTCTTATATCTAAAGGTGAGAGTTGGGAGGTGTAAGTGTCTCTATGATGTTATACAATTTGATTCCGATTCATAGATGCTTAAAGAATACCTGAAGGCGTTTCTATTTGGTGATTGCCTTTTTGAGGATTCTTAAACCTACTTA